ATTAACATTGTTTTAAATTGGCAGGTGGTTTCTGGAAGGGACTGAGCCATTCTGCAGCCATAGTCTGTGATTCGTGATATCTGAAGCATAAGGACCGGAGGCAGGGCCACGCATAGGGAAGGAGGCTCAGAAACTCCCTGATTGGCTAACTCCAGACCATTTCCCCCTGATGTCCACATGACAGCCACCACAGCAGGAAGCACTGTCCACAGCACACAAAGGACCATGGGAAAGCTCATTTTCAGAACATCCAACGTAAGAAAACTGGAGGCAGACGATTATTCAATCCTTATCACTCAAGTCCAAGGTGACACTGACTTGTTATTAATTGATTTCAAGGTAAATGACCAACTGTTCACCCAGCTGGGAACGTCCAAGGGTCAGACCAGAAACACGTTGAAGGAGAGACACCAACCAGAAGCAGCTTTTAAAGGTCACAGCCCTCAGGCTTGGCCGGAGTTCATGGGGCCCAAATGGGCAAATAGGGTGGAGGGTGGCTGTGCTTCTGGTGTGAAAAGGAAGTTACAATTCCGTCGAGAAGCTAACTCAAGAAACATAACATAAATCTGAGAAAGTTTCCAAAGGTTTAATGTCACATGCTCTGCAAATGTGAAGATAAACAGAAGCATGTATTAGCTGACCTGTAATTCCAAAATTAAAACTGAAGTTATTATTTCCTTCCACTGACACTGAGAGGACCCCACATACAAAAGCAACTGATCTGGACACGACCTGACCACGACGGGAGGAGGTTTCCTGTCACCAATCTGAGGGCACAACGTGGTTTTAATAGATGGTGAATGGGCCAGCCTGCAGTACATGCCTGCTGGCTGCATGTGGGCAGCTAGTACCGAATGAAAAGCAAAATAAAAAGATCCCAGTTTATAAAAATAATAATAACCTTCAGCCTAGAAAAACAACTATGATAGCAGTATCTGCTCAATGAACTCAATTCACCCTCACACAACTCTCTGAGATTGAGAAAGATCGCTGTCTCCACCTTACAAGTGGGGAAACCGAGTCTCAGAGATGTTACATCAGTTGCCCAAATCCTCACAGAAGTTAAATGGCAGAGCCAGGCATTTGAGCCCAGCTCCATCTCTCTCCGACATTGGTTCTTAAGCCCTGCGTGCTCCTTTCTGCTCCACCCGTCCCGATGTTCTCCTCTTCCTCTGCCTCAGGGCAGAGCGGGCCAAAATCCAGTGGCCAAATCTTTAGTCAATGCTTCATGACCAAATTCCAGCCTGGCCCATCCAACTGCTGGCTGGACGGCATCTCGAACGGGACAGCCTTCCGACACCTCAAGTTCAATGTTTCCAAAATGTTGGAATCATCTTCTCACCCTTCCCAGCCTCAAGCAATCAGCTCTGCCTTTGGAATTCTGGTTTAGTTTGGTTTCAGTTTTATTGGCAGGCCCTGCTGCCGCTGGCTACGACCCACTCTTTGAGAAGCGGTCCTTCTCACGGGATCCACACTCTGCCTCCTCCCCTCCTCCTGCTAATGCTTTAGCTCTGTGTGCTGTTCTCTTGCCCGCCCCCCCACCCCCTCTTTTCAACTGCTTTTCCCCAGTCTTAGCTTTCCCTCTCCCAAAGCTATTCTTCCAGCCATTTCTTCCCCAGCTTAGTCTCTAATCATGGCACTACCCTGCTCAAAACCCTCTACTCTCTCTCCTTTGCATGCCTGCAAAATATAAAGTATTCACCCTTGCCATGTGATGCTCCCCAATGCACCCACAATGCAACACCAACAAACACCCCACCATGTGTACAGCATACTTCAGTCAAACTGAGTGAGCAACTTTTCCAGAAATCTCTGCTCACTTGGTACCTTTCCTCACACGATGAAATGCACTCCAGCCCTCAGGCCCTGTGACCATCTCTCTGTTCCTGCCCATGGGAGATGCCCATCTTGATGCTCCACCATCCTTTGCATCTGCATTGTCTTTCTCGCACCTCTGTGAAAGCATCTTTCAGAATCTCTAGTGTGTCTTATAACTAATTCTGTCCTTGTGAAAAGGACAGCAGAAGCTCTGTGTCATTCTCCTCTCGGGCTCTTTTAGAACTTTGTCTATTGTGCGTGTTCATAACACGCTGTTGAGTTGAATAGAACCAGTGACTCCTTCAAACAGTGATTTGGAAGCACATACAAAGGGAAGTCACCCGAACATGCCAAAAGCAAAAGCAAGACACCGGAGGGCCATTTTCTCCCAAAGGAATGGAAACGGAAGTGGGGAACGCTGGCATTTGAACCATGAGCTCATCAGACCCACCTGCAGCTGCTGACGGGTCTCAGGAGAGAACAGCCGCCCCCATCTCTGCTGGCAGCGGGTGGAGGAGCCAGCGCACAGAGCACAGGCCTCAAGAACAGTTTGGCTCTGAGGCAATGGCTTCTTGTGCTACAAATCTTAATTCACACCAAAAATGTAACTCACAGGTGAGATTGAGAGTTGGGTCAGCTTTATCTGATTTCTAAAAAATAAAGGAAGAGCTGTGTGGTTTGACAAAGAGAGCCCAATCTGGGCTCTTCATCTGTACAAAGTGGGGTGGGGCCAGGTGGCTGCTGAGGCTCTCAGCTTAAAACTTAATGATTCTATGACTGTCTTACTGAGATCAAGAAAAGTGGCTAAAGAGCAACTGTTGGTTGAGAGAGAGAGAAAGAGAGAGAGAGAGGGAGAGAGGGAGAGGGAGAGAGAGAGAGAGAGAGAGAGAGAGAGAGAGAGAGAGAGGAGAGAGAGAGAGAGAGAGAGAGAGAGAGAGAGAGAGAGAGAGAGAGAGAACGGACTCTAGCCGGGCTCTTGGATGAAACTCCTGAAGTTTCCTAATGAGACTCCATGGCCGAGCTCCTGAAACTGGTTCCTGCGAGGTTCCTGCAAATCAGCAGTCCTCTTGTCATCCTGGGGACATGCCCTTCCAGGGAAAGTCTTCAGCACTAACAAGCCCTTTGCCTGCACACTGGCTTTGCATCCAGGACATCAAAGCCAATAATGAATGTAATTTGGAGCCCTGATTCGAGATCTTGTCTTACTGTTGCCTCCCTGACCACGTCATACTGAGACAGCAAACTCTTATTTTCCCACAGGAGTCCTTAAGTGTTTATTCTGGACTTCCTTGTCAACCGCCCACGTGACGAGGCGTCAGTCCTGTTCCACGAATACAATGCTGTTTGAAATAGTCAAACACCAGTGAAATGTGCTAACTTAGGGGAAGAGTAAAATAGCGATATATTTGTGCAATGGAACACTAGGCAACAGATAAAATGAAGGAGGTGGATTTATATGTCCTGCCATTGAAGGATGATCGTTATATATTGTTGAATCATGAAAGTAAACTGTAGAAGAATATGTTAACTGTAATCCCATTTTTTTTGCTATTTACATATATGGATACATGTAAATATATGTCCATGTATAAACTTACATGAATATAAATATGTATAGGAGAAAATAACTAGTAAATTATTAATGGAGAACGCCCCAGAGAATGGATAGAGGTGGGTTTCAAACCTTTCTCTTTGCGTTCAATTGCATGGCTTAAATTTTTGTCAATGAGTGCATCTTATTAAGTAGTTTATAATAATAACAACAACAATCTTTTTTAAACCTGGCATTCACCACTATTTAGCCTAAACAAATATAAGTATTTCACACAGCCAACACAAGTATCCTTTGTCCAGGTCCCAGAATCTGAGGTTTCTTAAAAGGTGGGAAATATACACCTCAAAGCAGATCTTGCATTTCCAAGTTCCTTTGGACGGACACACTTTTAAAATAATACAGGAAATGACAAGTACTCTTTTTTAAGAAGGCCCCTCATCTTCAAAGACAAGTAAAGCGATGAGGCTGCCTCTATTTGTTGTAAATTAAATTTGAAGCAAGATTTTAAATGAATGTGTTTCCTAAAGCAAAGACTCCTTAGAAATGTATTACTAAGAGGAGCCATGGGTAAAATAGTGGTGGAGTCACACCCTTCCTAACATACCTGTCCCAGTGCCTCTGCCAGGCCATCCCTGCTTGACTTCTGAAAATACGGGTGACCATACGCTCCTTTCCTAAGAGTCAGCAATCCATGCTGTGGGACCAGAGCCAACTAGTTGCAGGGGCTACACTCCCTCAGGTCAGCTAAGAACATGGTGCACAATGTTCAGTGTCCCTGAGTGTGTGGAATATTAGGAAGAGTGGGCGCAATCTGAAAACCCAGGTACCCTTCAGCTACCTGAGGACCAGCTAAATATAGAATGCTCGTGTGCACCAGAGTAAACCAAAGAGTGTTTGTGTCACTTACAAAAGCTTCACAAGTAGGTGCCCTTTGGACCCCATGTCCTGTGATTCCTTTGTTACACACAGGTGATCTGCAGAACAGCCACATGGACACCACTGAAGACCTTCTTAAAACGCAGGGTCTCAGGCCTCACCTGAGCCTACTGCACCCTCTGCACACAGCATTGCTGCTCCTGAGAGCTCTGGACTGCAGGCTTCCTGCCTGGGCTTCCCTGGCTCCTAACAGGACCTGTTTAGGCTCAAGGATATACTTGAGCCTGAACCCAACTTGAGATCCCAAATCCATAGTGCATGAGGGAGGTCACAGAAGAGAAAGGGAAAAGAAGGTACGGTGCCCGCACTTCCCAGTATGAGGCTGGGATGCGTATGGCCAGCAGGCCAGGTGCCCACCCGCCAGCCAGTTTCACCAGGAGGAAGCTGACAGGGGTGCCCAGCAAGGCAGGCGGCTCAGCCCCAGGGAGAGGACTGCAGGATGGCGGCAGGTGTGGCTGGGTTGACAGGCTCCCTGGTGGGCACCTCCAAGCTCAAGAGAAGGGGGAACCAGGCTTTGAGTGCCAACCTCAGGAGAGGGAGAGGGAGGAAAGGAGGAAGGGAACGCGGCCAGGCCAGCCTCCCAGCTGTCAGACAGACACAGGCGGAGAGCAGGAGGGCTAGACGAGGACCAGACATCAGACCCTCAGCACATTCCCAGCTGGACAGACAGACCCCTGGAGGCCTGACTCACAGGTGCGCGATGCCCGCCTTGCGCACGGCCGTGGAGATGGCTTTGACCGCGGTGCAGAGCGCGTTGAGCAGCTGGGTCATCTCGCCGGTGCCGCGGGCCTTCCTGCCCTCCTCCATGACGAAGCGGGTCAGGGTGACGATATTCGTGTCGAAGGCCGCCTGGTCCGTCATGCTGGGGCCGGGCTGTGCGTGCCGGGTGGCGAGGACGAGCAGGACAGCGCGGGCCGCGCGGAGGGTCGGACTCGGTGGCTGAGTGCGCAGAGCCCAACTGGCCTAGGCAGCTCCCGCCGTGAGTGCGGCGGCCGAGGGCCCGGGGACACCTATAGGTGCCCGGCCACGTCCCGCCCAGGGAACACCTCCGCCGGCCCCGCCCCGTCTGGGGCCTCGCCAGCTCCATCCCCCTGAGGGCCCGACTTCCTCGCACTCCCTCCCCCCCTCCCTGCTTCTCTCTCCCACCTGCTCCGCCCGCGGCCACCTCCGCTTGCTTCCTCCTCTATGCGCCCCCCCCCCCGCCCCCCCGCCCTCTGAGGACAGCCACTGAGTCACCAGCAGTGTCGCCTGCAGGCCCTGCAAGGACCTGCCACCGAGGTGCAGTCATGATCCCCCAACATGAGACGGAAGTTCAGAAGGTTACACAACGCAAGGCGGGTAGAGCCCGGCACTGCGAGGCTGGGAAGGCGGAGCTCCCGCCCCTGGCACCGCCCCCCCCCACCCCCCGCCGCCCCCCACCCCCGTCCTGCCGGCTGGGCAAGCCTGGGAAGAGGACTCCCCCCTTCACCCGTGTGAGGGCCCATGCTTGGATCCTTAATTCAGCCCCAAACGCTGCTGTCCTAAGCGAGTTCATACACTGATTCCTGCAGCAACACTGAGCACTTAGTATGCATCAGTGCCTGGCACTGGGGATGGAGCCTGAGCAAAACCCACAAAACACCTGCCTTTATTGACCTTCCTTTGTTTGTTTGTTTGTTTGTTAATCCTCCCCGGAGGATATTTTTTTCCGTTGATTTTTAGGGAGAGTAGAAAAGAGAAGGAAAGAAACACATAGATTGGTTGCCTACTGCAGGAGGCCAGACCCAGGCCTGGCCGGGGCGGAGCCCGCAACTGAGGTACTTGCCCTTGCCCGGAATCGAACCCGGGACACTTTGGTCCACAGGCCTATGCTCTTTCCGCTGAGCCAAACCGGCTAGGGCGACCTTACATTTTAACAGAGAGGCAACAATTAAACAAATAATAGATGAGTAAGTTAGATAAACCGTGGGTGCTATGGAGAAAAATGAAATAGGGAATGTGGGGAGGGGTTGTTAACTAGAGGAGTCAGGAAAACTTCACTGAGAAGGTGACATCTGAGCCAAGAGCTAAAGGAAGTGAGGCAGGAGCCAGTGTGGAGGGGAGGAGTGTTTTCCATGGAGAGAAAAGTCAGAAGTGCAGGGCCTGAGGGGAGAGTGTGTGGCGCTTTTGAGGAATGGCCTGGAGACCAGTGGAGCTGGCGCAGAGCAAGCCAGGGAGGAGTAGAGGAGATAGGTTGGGGGAGGAGGGGCGGCGGGGAAGGGGGCAAGTAGGGGGGAGGCTAGGAAGGCCCGGTGAGGTTTGAGTTCCACTGGGAGGAAACCACTGGAGAACTGGCAACAGAGGAGAGGCATGATCTGCCCGTCTTCACACTCTGGCTGCTGTTCAGTTAGACAAAGAGAGCAGACGATGCTCTTGAGGTTGCTGAGAGATGGTGATCCAGGGAGGTGGCGGGGGAATGGGGAGAGCTGGCGGATTCTGGCCTGAAGGTCCAGCTGAGAGGCTAATTGGAGCCTGAGCACCTGGAAAGGCGGGGTGCCCTCAACTAGAAGACCAGGCGGGGAGTGCGTTATGGGGAGGGGGAGGTGAAGGATTAATTATGGGATACACTAAATTTGAAATGCCTATTAGACACCCAAGGGGATGTCAAGTAGATGGTCAGGATTGTGAGTCTGGAATTCGGGGAAGTCCACACTGGAGATAGACATTGGAAAACCTCGCTGATGGATGGTGGTTGGAGCCATGAAACTAGAAGCCATAAAATGCCAAGGAAGGGAGGGGTCAGCTGAAAGCCAAGAGGTGTGGCTTTCAGGAGTCAAGGAAAGAAGGTGAGTCAGGGAGCCAGGCTGACCCCTGTGTGTAGTGCCACAGCTGAGGCCAGCGAGACAGACCTGAACACTGACCTCTGGTTCCACGGTGGGGACCTGCCTGGTGTGCTGATGCCGGGTTGGGTTGTCAGATGGGGACCCTGGATGAGGGCGCATGGTGGTGCCACCAGGACAGATGGTTCCTGTCTCTTTGTAGCCCAAGAGGGGGTTACAAGCTCGTTACTGACCTTGTGAGCAACAGTGCACTCACCTGTGAATTTGTGCTAAAGATTATAGCTGCCCCGTGGGATTACACAAGCAATAACTGCACAGATCTGCCAGAGAGAGAGAGAGAGAGAGAGAGAGAGAGAGAGAGAGAGAGAGATACTTTAAAGTCCACTTACTCTTTGCTCCTTGCACAGCTTTTCAAGGGTGGGGGAGCCTCGGAAGAGAAATATTTCCTTAAATATAAAACCTGAAATGTGATGACTAATATTTTTGGCCTAGCCACTAGTTATAGCAGCTCTGTTTAAGAGTTTGCCCTTTTATGTGTCAGATGTTTAGTCCCTAGAGATCTTAGACCAGCCAGGACCATCACAGCTAACTAGTCCGACCCAGCCCTCCTGAAGTTAATCCCTTGGAAACCATCCCTGGTAAGAAGTGAAAAGCTCAGGATCGGGGTTGAGCAGTCCTGCTGGATTCCCAGCTCCAGCCCTCCCAGCATGGAGGCCTCAGCCATTAAGCAATCTCTTCAATCTCAATTTGTTCATCTATAAAGTGGGGTGATTGCTCTAGGCCCGTGGTCGGCAAACTGTGGCTTGTGAGCCACATGCGGCTCTTTGACCCCTTGAGTGTGGCTCTTCCTAAGCCTTAGGAGTGCCCTAATTAAGTTAATAACAATGTACCTACCTATATAGTTTAAGTTTAAAAAATTTGGCTCTCGAAAGAAATTTCAATCCCTGTACTGTTGATATTTGGCTCTGTTGACTGATGAGTTTGCCGACCACTGCTCTCGGCAGCAGGGATGGCATCAGCATGACGTGAGAGATGTTGGCAGAGTGCTCAGCTCTGAGTGGATACACTAAACACCTGGAAGAGACGTCTGTCCAGCTCAGTGACTGATGTCTGCCAGCCACAGGGATGGGGAGCCCACCACCTCCAAGGCAGACCATCCCCTTAGGAAGAGGCCAAGACGCATGGTGGTCAAGTGTGCAGAGCTAGAAGGCCTGGGTCAGAGCCTGGCCTTGCCCCTCACTAGCCGTGTCAATGTGAGCTCGTTCCCGACCTCGTGAGTAACAGTGCACTCACCTGTGAATCTGTGCTAAAGACTGTCGCTGCCTCATGGGATTACACCAGGAATGCAGGTGAGGTGTTTAAGAAGCGTGCCCAGCCGGAAGTCAGCCATGCTCTGCACGTGTTCCCTTCTTCATATGGAAAGTGCCAACTGTTTCCATCTGAACAGAAGTAAACAAGCTCCCTTGACATCAAAAAGGGCTGAAGGGACATGGGAATACATAGCCTCCGCTGCATCTGCCTGTGCAGTTATGTCCCCTGCACCGTGTGGGAGACTGTGATTAGCTCTCTTCAGGGCCGAGATGCATAACCCATCACCTGGGCATTAACCAGAGACTGAGGAAGGTGCTGGACCAGAGGAAGGCGGGCACCTGCCCCATGGGATTTCCCCCTCCCGCCTCCACCTACCCCCATTGCACAGCTGCTCCTTGCTGGCTTCCATGACTTCTCCTCCTCTCTCATCACAAACACACTCCAGTTCATACAACAGGGCAGATTTGAGCGTGTATGCGATGTTACCTGTTTGGTAACAGCTCTAAGGCCTGTGTAGAAACAGGATCACCCACTTCCTCACCGGCTCCAACCCAGAGGCCAGCTCTGGTGTGTGTCAGAAGCAGGAAGTTGAGAAGTAACAGTCGGAATGATCACTCACTGCGCCCTCGCCCTGTCCCTGTACCCGGGGCACTTCTGCTTATTTCCCCAGGAGGGCAGTTAGTGAGTGTGACAGGGGAAGAAATGGCGACAGAGGGATGGTGGCCACCCTGCCCTAGGTCCAGTGGCCCGGGCGGCCTCATGCTGATCATGGAGACAGGACATGTCATCTCTGGAGCAGCAGGAGCTAAACCACCCAGCTGTAGGGTTAAGACCTATTGGGCCCTTGTTAAATGCCCAGCACTTGCTTTAATCAACCCAGAACCCCGTGAGTGGCTCGTACTCCTGCTCTTTACAGATGAGGGGACTGAGGTTTCTGAAGGTTAAAGGACTTGTCCAAGGCCTGTGGGCAGCCAGGAAGCAGCAGAGCCAAGACTCACAGCCTGGACTGTCTGATTCAAAACCCCACGTTCCCACGGGCCTGCCGGTTCTCTGCTAAGTAGCAGAAGTGGCAGAAGTGGCCATCCTGGCCGTCCTGGCTGAGCCTGCTGACTGCTCTGTGGCAGTGCCCTGGGCGCTGGCTCCAAACAGACCCAGGGACGCCCCTTCTTCCACCCTCCGACCATCCTCCTGTCTTTTCCAGTCACCACCTTCAGAACCTCCTCAGCCATTCTCAGCCTCCGAGACCAGCCAACACCATTTTGTGGTTTGTTTTTTTTAACTTAACTACTTGTTGCCAAAATTCTTCAGAATTATTCCACTGAGGTGGAAGCTGCCATCAAGAGTCTGGCCAGCCTGCCTCTGCAGGCCCCACACCTACTCTCTCTGGGCTTCTATTTCCACAGTGATGATGTGGCTCTCGAGGGCGTTGTCCACTTCTTCTGCTTGATGGAGAAGCAGAAGTGAGAGGGTGATGAGCATCTCTAAGAGATGCAAAGCCAACTCGGTGGCTGCATCCTCTTCCAGGATGTGCTGCTGCCCCCTCAAGATGAGTGGGCAAAACTCAGGCTTACAGAGAAGCTGCCATGGGCTTGGAGAGGAATCTGAACCAGGCCCTTTGGATCTGCAGGCCCTGGGTTCTACCCGCAGACCCTCAGCTCGGCAACTTCCTGCAGAACCACTTCCTGGAGGAGGAGGTGAAACTCATCAAGAAGATGGACGACCACCTGACTCACCTCCATAGGCTGGCCAGCCCCCTGGGTGCAAAAATCAGCCTGTTCCTAGGTTATCAGCAGGGATAAGAAAAGAAAGCTAATTCTTTAGATAGTCAAATAGGCCATTCCTGTGACAAAGGCTGGAGCAAATGGGGAAGAGGAGGGAATCATAGAAATAGAACAGGGTGTGGGAAGGAGCTGCCAGAAGTCAATGGGTCCAAAGCAGGAGGGGAAGAACTTCAAAATCTTGCCATATGATACTTGCTGGGCAAGTATCTCTTCGAAAAGTTCACCCTCAAGCAGGACTAGGAGCTGTTGGAGCTCAGAGGCTTTTGAGGGGCCCCTCGGCATTCCCCTGGTATCTGGTTTTTGCCCGAGCCGCTCCCCAAAACCATTAGCCATTCTTTTAAACACCCTGGAGTCCTCTCCCATGCATTGGACCAAATGGAAAAAATAGAACTTTTTGCAAAAAAAAAAAAAAAGTTCTGCTCTATGAATTGTCCATCCATTAGCTCTAGAGGTACTTCTTAAGCTTGTGCTCATTTGTTCTTTCACTCAACAAATAGCTAGTGAGCTCCTGCTATGTGCCAAACCATACCACATGCTGAGGTTATGGTGGTGAATGGGACAGACACATCTCTGTCCATATAAGGCTTACATTCTTTGTGAAAGAGATAATCAGGAAACAGAATCTCATAATAAACAAAGATACAAAATCATTTCAGGGAGCAAAGAATGCTACAAAGGACACAAAACAGCATTGAGGTACAAGCTAATTCGGGGAAGAGTTCTTAGGACATGACTTTGATTTAAGACTGGACATCAGCCCAGCTGGCATGGCTCAGTGGTTGAACATCGACCTATGAACCAGGAGGTCACAGTTCGATTCCCAGTCAGGGAAAATGCCAGGGTTGCAGGCTGGATCCCAGTTTGGGGCATGCAGGAAGCAGCCAATCAATATTCTCTCTCATTATTGATGTTTCTATCTCCCTCTCCCTTCCTCTCTGAAATCAATAATATGTATAAATACCAGACATTGGAAGGAATGGGGCAAAGGAAGAGCTCATAAAAGAACTTATAGAAGAAAAAGCAAAGAAAGCAGCAGGTCGAAGGCCCCGAGGTACAGCTGGGCTGGCATATTCAAGGAACAGCAAGAAGATAGCCAGTGTGACCAGAAGGGTGGGAGATGGAAGAGCCACAGGAGATGGACTTTGGAAGAAAGGCAAGGGCCAGATTAGGAAGGACCTCGCAGGTCATAGCAAGACACTTGGGTCCTCTCCGTAGTGTGGTGAGAAGTCACTGGACGGTGTTTGACTGGAAAGTGATATGACCTCATCTAGACATGTGAAAATGGACTGTAGCGGGTCAAGGCAGAAGAGGGAGACCCAGCGGATTGAATTTAATCCATCTTCTACTTGACTGCCTGTGAAATATGTGAGGGCTGCTGTCATATTCCTCATAAATCTTTACTTCTCCACTAAATGTCTCCAGTTCCTTCAATTATTCTTCATATGGCAAAGTTTTGAAGTTCTTCCCCTCCTGCTTTGGACCCATTGATTTCTGGCAGCTCCTTCCCACACCCTGTTCTATTTCTATGATTCCCTCCTCTTCCCCATTTGCTCCAGCCTTTGTCACAGGAATGGCCCATTCGCCTATCTAAAGAATTAGCTTTCTTTTCTTATCCCTGCTGATAACCTAGGAACAGGCTGATTTTTGCAGCAGCAGGATGGGGCAGAGGGGGATGTTGCAGTGGCAACAAAGGGCTCAGCCAGTCCTGCCAGGACCTGCGAAGCTGGGATAAGAGTTGTCTTGAGTCGGGGTAAGGGGGCCAGGACCTGTATCCCCATGCCAGCTTGCCAGTGGTTACAGACTGCTTTGGGAAGGGGCACAGCATGGGAGAGGTGGCTCTCTTCTGCAAGCAATAGTCCCAGGAGCTGGAGAACGAGTTCTTTGTTTACAGTGAGGAACTGGGTGGCATGTCACAGCATCCACTCAAATAGGCAAAGACTGGAACTGGGCGAGAAGCAGGAGTTGGCCTCTGCATCATCAGCTTTCCTTTTCTCTGTGTCATCACCCAGACATCTCTCCCCTCGAAGGAGCACGCATGGCCATGGGCGTTTCCGGACCTGTGTTCTACCAGCTCGGTTTTCCCCCTGGTTCCAGCCAAAATCCAGTGTTGGGCTCTTACTGGCTCAGATAGGTGACTATTCCTTAGCCAATATTGTTATTACAGGGATAACACTAGAGCTGCTGTAGTTTATAAAAGATGTAAATAATCACAAACAGTAGCACTTCACCTATTGCAGATTCAGTGAAATCGTGAATAAAAGTTCAGTGCCTGGAATGAGTAGATGTCCAATCTAGAACTGCTGCTGCTACCATTGTTAGGCTTTAGATAGGGGCGGAGGCTTGGTAGCCAGCATGGAACATGACAAAGCTGAAAGTGAGTTTGAGAGCCAGCGAGTAAAGCACAGGAAGACACGTGGAGAGTTTCAATGTGAGATCAGCCAGCAAGCCTGAGACTGCAGAGGGGTTGAGCATGAGAGTAAGGAGTTTGGCTAGTTCTGTAGCCCACCGCTACTGCAGGTGGGTCTGGCCTGCAGCATTTGTATCTGCTCAGGATAAATACAGAAATTGAGAGTAGACGCCCCTTTCCCTCCTGGGCGAAGGCTCCGCCCGGCCCGCTATTGGCCCCGCCCCCGTCCAGGCCACTTGCGGCTCCGCCTTCAAGGCTTCTGGAATGCTGGGCTGCGGGGGTCGGGTGCTGGTCAACGGCTTCCCGCTCACCTCCCGGAAAATGACAGCTTCTTGCGGGCCTCGGAGGGCACCTCGTCGCCGTCCCTTCTCTTCTTGGAGCCACTTCGTTGGGAATCTTTTGGTGACGCTCGCGCTCCGGTTACCCGCATCCACCGATGCCTGCGATAAGATACCAAGATATAACTCTATGAAAGCCAAGGGTAATCCTGTGCCCCCTGTAAGTGCTGGGTTCGCAGCAGAATATGAGTGCCGCCCAGGATACAGGCTTATTGTTCCTCTTGTTCGTCCCACCACTACTGTGTGTCAGCCTGATGGCACATGGGCGCCTCCTCTCCGGGAGGCTTGTACAAGAAAATCATGTCCACAGCTAGCAGAGCCCATAAATGGCCGCTTAGATGGAACTTTTCAATATGGTGCACAGGCTAACTATTCTTGTAATGTGGGCTATACCTTAGTGGGAGCACCAGTTCTACGTTGTGAACTTGCTAGAGATGGGAATAATGTGGCTTGGAGTGGTGACCCCCCACAGTGTGAAAAGATTTTGTGTCAACCACCTCAAAAAATACTCAATGGAGAATTCAGCAATAGCCACAAGGATACATTTGAATATAATGATGTAGTAACTTACAGTTGTAAGCCTTCCGGTGGACCAGATGAGTATTCACTTGTTGGGGAGAGCAAACTGATTTGTTCTGGGCCAAACAAATGGAGTAGTGACCCCCCTGAGTGTAAGGTGGTCAGATGTGACTATCCGTCACTCCCTGATGGAGAGCTCGTGTCAGGATTTCAAAAAAAATATTACTACAAAGCAGAGGTTGAATTTAAATGCAACCAGGGTTATTCCCTTGAAGGCAGCCGCAAAATTGTCTGTGAAGCTAATAGTACCTGGGTACCTGAGATTCCTCGCTGTGTGTCAAGTAGCCCACGACGTCCCACTCCTAATAAAACACCGTTTCAATCATTAGGTACAGGAGCCATTGTTTTAGCTGTTGTGATGTCTTGGGACTCATTATCGCCCCCTGGATGTACTATCAGAAGAAGAGGAAAGGGTTGCAGAAAAACTGATGGGGGTTAAACTTGCTGAGAGGGGAAAACAGAAAGCACTGCTGCCTACAGCACATACCAGAATAAATCAAGCACTCCAGCACAGTAGACACTCTGACTGGCTTTCCAAGACACTCTACCACTTCATCTTTTTTAAAATGTCAAGACCCACATTAAATTCGTATGGCTACTATGCAAAACAGTATGGAGGGCCCTCAAAATTAAAACCAGAGCCACCCTATGACCTTACGGGAATATATCTGAGTGAAGGGAATCACTATGTGGAAAAGATAATCTTCTGCCCCTACCTGTTTATTGCAGCACTGTTCACAATAATAAAGACATGGAAGCAGTCTGAAGTGTCCGCCAACCAGTCAGTGGATAAGGGAGATGTATGCGTGTACGGTGAAATACTATTCAGTCATTAAAAAGGAAAACGTGAAAAAAAAATGAGAGTAAAAGTTATAGCAATTTCACGGAACTAAAAAAAAAGAAATCTAATAACAAAAAATTGTGACCTGTATTTGTCTTTCTTATTTCATTTTCCTAGAATTTCATTTTTATTGTATTTTACAAACACAATGACCATGATGAATTAGAAATGTCTTTATTTATTTATTTTTAAATATTGTTATATTTTAGAGACAGAAGAAGGGAGAGGGAGAGGGAGAAGGAGAGAGAGAGAGAGAGAGAGAGAGAGAGAGAGAGAGAGAGAGAGAGAGAGAGAGAAACAATGTGAGAGTGGAACACTGATCAGCTGCTTCCTGCACGTTCCTACTGGGGATTGAGCCCGCCACCCAGGCATGTGTCCTGACCTGGAATCGAACCAGACACCTTTCAGTGTTGGGACAGTACCCAACCAACTGAGCCACTCCAGCCAGGACTAGAAATCTTTTGTAAAAACTGTTCCTTCTCCAGAGTTTGAGAAGCACCACTGAGGCAGGGGGACAAATGACATATTATGGGATTCTGTGTTTCTCAGAGGAAATACTGAGGGCAGATTGAAAAAGAGAGAAAATGGAGGACGCGAAACCAAGCAGGAGGCTCCCATGACTGCCTGGGTGGGAGCCAATAAAGACCAGTGGAAGCTGAGATCTTGAAAGAAAGGAATCAGGGCAAGGGCTTCTGTTCTACCAGGGTCTTTTTCCAAAATTGATTTTTAAAGAGAGGGAGGAATGGAGGGAGAGACAGAAAGATAGGGAGAGAGAGGGAGAGGGAGAGGGAGGGGGAGAGAGGGAGAGAGAGAGAGAGAGAGAGAGAGAGAGACTTCCTATTCTACTTATTTATGCATTCATTGGTTTATTCCTATATGTGCCCTGACTGGGGACCAAACCTGAAACCTTGATGTATCAGGATGATGCTCTAAACAAACGACTGAGCTACCAGCGTCTTGACTTCATAAAGGTTTCGAATGGAAGAATTATAATGATTGAATCCATAGGTACTGAAATCCTCGGGGGCCCCTACACGTTAGGCACCGATTGGAATAAATCTGGATCTCTGAGGACAGTATTTGGGCAAGATGACATTGCTGCTTGTCTGATCACACAGACCCAAAATCTCAGAGTAGCCTTGGCCCTGCTACATGCCTGGGCCCCACATCCAATCGGGCACCTTTGTTCTGCTTCTGAACCAGTTCTCCCATCTCCTCCCTTCTCACCAGTCTTGGTCCCTTTGTCTTTTATCTCTGCCCTCAATGCTTATCTTGAAGGCAGTCAGATTTTGTCACTTTCTCATTACAAAACTTCTCAATGGCTCCCCGTTGTCCAGGGAAAAAATAAACCAACTCCTGGGCAGGAGATTTAAGGCCACTACCACATGTCACCAAACCCCACATTTCAGCTGAAACTCCCCTGTTCCCTCTTCCATGCTGCCCTGCTTGGTTCACAACAGCTGCCTGCACTTCTGCTCGCCTTTCCTCCCATGGTGCAAGTAAATAAACCCAACTTATTGCTATTATTATTCTTATTATTGTATTTCACTATGGCTCTGATGGTCTTTGTTTTATTCTTTGACAGCACATGGTAAGTTCAATAAATATTTGTTGTATGTCATAAATACAAATAACTATTGTATCAGATGACAGATGATCCATACATAGATACTTTAGGAACCAGGAGGAAGGCAGAATCAAGTCTCCCCAAGATAATTGTGAAAGTGTTCATGGACAAAGTAAGGAGTGAACTCAGGGTTGCTAGTCATTCTTTACCTTTTCCTAATCCAATACTCTCTTTGTTCCAGCCCTTTCCAGCATAGGTCCCATAAGGCTTCATTTCAATGACATTCTAGGCAAGCCACACACAACCGCATACATGGGGCTCACTATCAGTTCATAAAAGCCATACTTTGCCCGCAACACTGTTGGACATTTCTCCAATTGATTCACTCACCTATGCTCAAACCTCCAGTCCCACACATCCAACTTCACTGATTAAAACTTCAGGTAGGAGCTTTTCAACTTTTCTTGCTCTAGCTAGCAATCTCACTATCTCTGTCCTCATCCAATCCTCCCTCCCTCCCTCCTAACACCAATCCTGCATCTCTAAGCTTTGGAGCCACCCACTTGCCTTCTCAGCAAACCTGTCCTACTGTTTACCTGTCTACTCCTATTCAACTACCTCCTCTCAAACAGATCTATCTTATTACCAGTTAAAGGTGTTCAAATCCCTCACATCTTAAAAGAACAGACTTTTCCCTTGACCCCTTTATCTCTCCAGCTACCACTTCACAGTCAAATCTCTTGAGAAAATGAAAAAAAGGGTCAATGGTTATAAAAATCCCTTTTATTTCCCCAACCGACTGCAAATTAGCTTTGACTTCTATTTGCCCTTTAAAAGAACTCTTTCCAGGGTCACTGATGACTTTCACTTTTCTAAACTCAACAGACATTTTTCAGTTCTCCTTTTGACTTCCCAGGAACATTAGACGTTGACTGCTCCCTTTTCTTGCAACACTGTCTTGGTTTCTTTGTCACATACCCTCTGGCTTGGACCTCTCTGGAATTCTTTATGGTTCCTGCCAGTAAGTTGTCTCCCAAGGCCAGTCAATAGCTTTAATTACTATTTGTTTTCTAAAGATTACTAAACTCCAATCTCCATCTCAGTTTGCCCCTTGGAGCTGCAGTCTCCTATATCCAATTGCTTCATTTTTATAAAGACTTTTTAAAGAGCAGCTTTAGATCCATAACAAAATTGAGGGGAAGATATAGAGATTTCCTATATACCCTCCACTCCACACATGCATAGCTATCCCGTTATCAACTTCACTCACCAGACTGGTACGCTTGGTACAGAGGATGAACCCATCTTGACCTATTAACACTCAAAGTCCATAGATTACATTATGGTTCACTCTTGTGTTGTATATTCTAGGGTTTGGACCAAACATATAACAACCTATGTTCATCATTATAATATTATACAAAACATTCTCACTGCTTTAAAAATTGTCTGTGCTCTGCCTATTCATCCCTCTCACTACCTCACCCTATGCAACCACTGATCTTTTTATTGTCTCCACTAGAGGCCCAAAGCGTGAAATTCGTCAAGAGTAGGCCTTCCTTCCCCCGGCTGCCAGCACCCGGGACCCGGGCGTCCCTTGCAGCCCCGGCTTCGTCTGGAAGGTGGTCCAGAAGGACATCCAGTCTAATTAGCATATTACACGTTTATTATTATAGATAGTTTTGCCTTTTCCAGCATGTCATGTAGTTGGCATCCTGCACGAATGTAGCCACTTCAGATTGGCTTCCTTCACTTAGTAATATGCGCTGAGTTTCCTCCATGTCTTTTCATGACTTGATAATTCTTTTTAGTGCTGAATAATACTCCATAGTCTCGAAGTGCCTCATTTTATTTAGCCATTCAGCTACTGAAAGACATCTTGGTTGCTTCCTAGTTTTAGAAGCTGCTATAAACATCCTTCTGCAGGTTTATATGGATATACATTTTCAACTCCTTTGAGTAAATACCAAGGAGGGTGAATGATGGATTGTATAGTAAGACTATGTTTAGTTTTGTAACAAACCACCAACCTGCCTTCCAGAGTGGTTGTACCATTTTGCATTTCCACGAGCAATGTATGAGAGTTCCTGTTGCTTCACATCCTCACCAACATTTGGTGTCGTCAGTTCCAGCTGCTTCTTCATCTAGATGTCTCAAAAGGCAGGCCAAACTCAAGACTGCACTTATGGTTTTCTCACCCCCTCCACACCAAACCAAATCTTTATCCAATATTTCATCTCTTGGATGATGACATGACCAATCAGACAGAAACCTAGGATTTTTCTTTGATAGTTCCTTTCCTCATCCCCTATATGTAACCAACCACCAAATTTCTTGTTCATTTTGCCTTCTTAATGTCTTTTGGATTGGGCCAGTTCTCTTCAGTTCCTCTGGTAACCCTCCAGTCCAAGCTCACCTTTCACCCAGACTATGGCAAAAGCCCCCTAACTGCTCTCCTCATATCTATCTTATTCTCTTTGTTGCAGCTGAAGTGACTTTTTCAAACCTCGAAATGATCGTGAAACCCCCATGTTTAAAATATCCCAATAGCGTTGTTTGTTTCTATGTGTGTTTTAAATAAAGACCACAATGTTGACCTTGGCCTACAGAGTCTGGGTCGTCTGGCCCCTGCTCATCTCTCCCATATTCCACCACCAGTCGCTCCTTTCCGCTTTCTAGTCCATAGGAATGGTGCCCTGCCCTCCACAGGGTCTTTGCACATGGGTTTTCTTCTGAGTGTAACAATTCTTCTCTACCTGCCTTTTGCTTGGCTCAGTCCTACTCTTCCGTGTACCATGGCCAATATCATGTCATTAGCAAAAAGCCTGGGTCCAGGCCAGGTTTTGTAGTTTACAGAAACAACGTTTCTTCCTTCAGAACCTTGTATCAGTTTGTAAAACATACTCACTGATGCAGTTATGATCGGTGCCTCTTTCCTCCCACCAGACTGTTCACACTCTAAGATCAGAGGTGTCTGTGTGTTATTTAACCATTTTATCCCCAAGAATTATTAACATAGGACCCTGATCACTGTAGGCTCTCAGTAAATATTTGGCAAATGATGATTGAATGTGGGGGTGGGGAAGAGAGAAAAATGAAGCTGCTGGTTG